AGGAAGTATATTGTCAGACTTGATCAAATACAGAAGAATAGGTTGTGAATAGTAAGGATTTTAAGCTGCGACAATTTTTTGAAGAAATTGATAATGTTTACTGTGGAGAAAAAAGACAAAATAAAAATGACCACTGTCTTCCAGGGTATGGTGAGTTTTGGACCTTTCCTTCACTTTCCAAAACCAGATTTGAGGTTTGTCCACAGGGATATGGGTGCAGCTGGTATATAGGGGGAGGAAAAAATCACTGTTAGTAAGAGTACAAGGGTAACAGGAAGAAAAGAAAACGACTAATGAGGATTTTTTGCTCTCATCACCAGGAGATGTTTTTAAGGATTAGGGAACTATCAATATTTACCAACCTCACCTGAGTAACTACCACATAGTATGCTATGGAGATTAGAAGACAGAGTGAGAGAGAAATAAAGATAAACATCAGTGCCTCTAATCCTTACCTCTTTTATATTCCTTAGTTATCTGAGGGCCAAGACTAGATTTTTAAGAAAAACACTCATAAATGAGCCTCCTGAGTGACTAAGAAGATTTACATACATCTTTGTGATTAATGCTATTAAATCAAGAATTTCTTTTGCTTTTCTCTTTTTAACATTTTCCCTATAATAATTGTGAGCTACATTCTAATAAGTTCAGAATCAGCTTCATCACACTGTGAATACTATATATAAAAGTTGTTCCAAATTTCAGAGGTGAGTCCTATAGGCTAAGAAAGTGATACAATCTCTCAGCCCAAAGTATACCTTTGTCATTTGGGTGATGAGAGTTTATTATAAAGATTACAAGTTTTTGAAGGCCTGTTATGTAGAGAAGGGATTAGATTGTTCTTCTTGGCCCCAGAGGACAGAACTAATAGCAATGGATAGATATTGCAATGAGTTTTTTTCTCCCTTGACATTGAGGAAGAATTCTAACAAAGTTTTCTGAAATCAGCCAATTTGCTTTGAAGGTAGGGCGGTCCCCACCACTGGAGGTGTCTAAGGAGGAGACTGCTTGTCAAGGATGTTATGAGGTAATGCCTGTTCATTAGTGGGTTGGACTAGATGACCTCTGAGATTCCTTCCACCACTGAGATTCAGAATCACACAATCACAGAATCAGAATAAAATAATTTTAATCTATGGAATTTCAGACTTGTTCAGTGCATATCCCCAAAGGAATCCTTTCTACAATAACCTTGACAAGTGGTCATCTAGCCTTTGTTTGAAGATCTGCATTGAAGGTGAATCCACTATCTCTCAAGGCACTCCATTCTACTTTTGGATAGTTTTGAAAGAATTTTTTTCTGTCATTTATACTCCTCTTAATCTAGCCCAAGATTGAATTACATTTTTCTTAAATTACCTTTTCTTACATTGTTGGCTCATATTGAGCCAGTTGCAGTTGATTCAAACCTCCAGGCCTTTTTTCTATAAATTGCTATCTAACTCTGAATTCCCAGTATCTCATCTGTGAAGTTGTTTGTTTTCATCCAAGCATAATACTTTATATTTTATCTTTGTTGTATTTCATCTTATTAGATATTGCCTAGTGCTCTAGACTGTTAATATTTTTTTGGAGGGGAGGCATCTTGACATTATCATCTAGTGAGTTATGTTTGTGTTATCTTGTAAAGTTGATAAATATGTCATCTATCCCTTTATCTAGGACATTAGAAAATGTTAAAAAGGAAAGAATGAAGCACTGAGCCTTAGAGCACTTCAATGAAGATTTCAAGGTGACATCAAAGTATTAATCACTCTTCTTTGTGTTCAGTCACTCAATCAATTTTAAATCTATAATCTAACCTACCTCTCTTCATCTTGTCAATAGGAAGGGCATATTAAATTTTACCAAATGATATGCTAAAATCTATGTAAATTACAACTCCATTCTCCCTGACTTAGCAGTCTAGAGACAATCAAAAGGGATGCTTAACACTTTTCTTGTTGTCAATATTCAATGATTATTAGATGAAAGGTATAATGAAAAATATGCCTTTATTTGTCTTCTATGATTCTGATGAATGCTTTGTAACACATATTTTCTGATGGGAGATTTCAAGGATGTATTTTCTTCTATTATGTTAAAAATTTAAATAAAAAAGTAATAGGACACAAATATATTTTATACATATATGTACATATATCCTGCTACTTATTCATATAGCTATATATATCTGTGTGTATATATGTATATATATGTGTGTTTATATACATACATATATACATATATATGCACATATACATATACACACACCTATCTGTCTAGGTGGCACAGTGTGCAAGACTTGGAGTCAGGAAGATTCATCTTCCTGAGTTCAAATGTGTGTGTGTGTGTGTGTACACAATACATACATATATACATACATAATACATACATACATACATATGTATGTATACACACACATACATACATACACATATACACATATGTGTGTGAATGTGTTCTGTGTAACTCTGGGCAAGCCACTTAACTTCTGCAACTTCTGTTTGCCTCTGTTTCAGCAACTGCAAAATGAGGATAATAATAGCACCTACTTTGAATGGTTTTGAGGGATATATGAGATAATATTTGTGAAAAGTGCTTAGCATTGTATCTGGCACATAGTCAGTGTTATATAAATGCTTAATTTTCCCCTCTTTCACCTTTATGCCTCTCAGTTTATGACCATAAAGTAAGGGTAAGTATTCATGCAATGCTTTACAGTTTGTAAAGCACTATATACACATGTGCATATATAATTCCATTTGCTAAGGATCTAGTTTTTTGTAGAAAATCAGCTGCAACAACCTTATTTGTATATCATAATACTTTCGTTGAGTATATATTCAATATCTGATTCTTATTAAGCGTGTATAGAAATTAAAATATAGTATATGAGTGCTAGTCACCAATCCCTTCTTGGTTGCTTTAAAAAAACAGCCTCATTTCTAAAATGTATAGAGAATTGAATCAAATTTGTAAGAATACAAGTCATTCCCCAATCAATAAATAGTCAAAGGATATGAATAGGCAGTTTTCAGAGGAAGAAATTAAAGGTATCTATTGACATATGAAAAAATGCCCTAAACCACTATTGATTAGAGAAATGCAAATCAAAACAACAAGTTACCACATCACACCTATCAGATTGGCCAACATGACAAAATAGGAAAATGATAAATGTTGGAGAAGATGTGCCAAATTCCAACACTACTACATTGTTGGTAGAGTTGTGAATTGATCCAACCATTCTGGAGAGTAATTTGCAACTATGTCCAAAGGGCTATAAAACTGTGCTTACCCTTTGATCTAGAAATACCACTACTAGGTCTGTATCCCCAAAAGATCATAAAAATCCAAAAAAGACCCACATGTACAAAAATATTTATAGCAGTTCTTTTTGTTGTGACAAAGAATCAGAAATTGAGGGTATGCTCATCAGTTGAGGAATGGCTAAACAAGTAATGGTATATGAATGTAATTGAATACTATTGTTCCATGAGAAATTATGAGCAGGTGGATTTCAGAAAAACCTGGGACTTATATGAACTCATGAACTGATGCTGAGTGCAGTGAGGAGAACCAGGAGAATGCTGTACACAGTAACAGCAACATTGTGTGATGACTGACTTTGATAGACTTAGCTCTTCTCGGCAATGCAATTATCTAAGACAATTCCTAAAGAATCATGGTGGAAAATGCTATCCACACGCAGAGAAAGAACTATGGAGTCTGAATGCAAATAGAAGCATACTATTTTCTCTTTTTTTTTTCCTTGTGGTTTTTCCCTTTTGTTTTGAATCTTCTTTCACAACATGAATAAGGTGGAAATATATTAAATATGACTGTATATGTATAACCTATATCAGATTGCATACCTTCTGGGGGAACGTGGAGGGGAGGGAAGGAGAAAAAAAAATTTGTAACTCAAAATTTTATAAAAGCGAAAAAAGTTGAAAACTTCTTTACATGCAATTTGAAAAAAATAAAATACTATTAAGTGGGGAAAAAACAACTAAACTTCATTCCTGATCTTTGCCAGTCTTTCAGAATATTATTATATTAGAAATGCCTTTAAGCTCTCTATCCATGAATATCTTTACAGTTGTAGCATTTCTTCTGTTTGTTCTTGCTTAGCTCTGGCAGCTTTCTCTGACTTTGCCTTAAGTGGCAGTAAAAATTCTTTGTTCACCATAGTGTCCCAGCTATATATAGAAATGGTAGAATCCAAATATGGTGATTCCATTATAATTACTGATGAGAATAGAAGATGCTAGTAAATTCTAATTCATTTTCTCTTCATTTGTTGCATTCCATATGGTTTCACCTACAAGTGATTTTGGTATAATATAGCTTAGCTGCGATGATGCACATTGAATTTCCTATTGGCTTGTTTCTCCTCAAATGCTTTTTGTTCTTTTGCGAGGCTATCCTACTTTAAAAAATTTGTAACCTCAACCAGCATTATTCTTGGCTTCCACATCTTTCCATTTAGCAAAGAGATTAAATGTTTATTGACTAGAAGTGTTTCTTTGGGGGAAAAAAAAAGACCTCACTGTTGCCTCAGCTTTGCATTAATTAAACTTCTCTAAGCCTTGGTAAAGGCTTGGTAAAGTCCTGTGGTACAAGGCAGCAATTTTCGAAGTGTAGTATAATCCTTTGAGGGGGATCCATTAGGACAAAAATTCTTTCATAACAATACTAACATATTTTAATTTCTAATATATTAAACATCTAGATATAACCCTCATAAGCAAAAGCTGTTTGAAGAGTCTTCAATAATTTTTAAAAGTGTAAAAGGGTCTGTCTTGAGAATAAAAAGTTTGAGAACTACTAGTGTAATGGATAGAGAGAGCCCTTAAATCGAGATCTCTGACACATACTTCCTGCGTGATCTTGGGAAAGTAATTCAGATTCTCGGTGTGCCAGTCAACTCACTAAGACTCTAAGTTTCAAAACAGGCACTAATGTGCATTCATTAATGGACAGTTTCGTCTCAGGGAGTTCCCTATTCTGGTGAAATTAAAGTTTCAGCAAACAAAAGAAGTAGTGGTCAAAAGAAGTAGGAGGAGTGATCCCATTTTCATTTTTCAGTATTGACAGCTTATTTAAACTGGTCAGGTCACAACTGTGGCAATCTAATTTGGTGCCTTTTCATTTGTATGCATGTTCCTCTCCTGGTCTCTTTTACTTTTGTTCTTACCAGCTGATGTTCTGCCTGCACACTTAACGCTGATCTTGAAATCTGTAACCAGTTTGTTTCTCTTTGCTTAGTTACAGATATTTTCATTTGTGGGTGCATATGTGTGTGATTGTGTTGGGTGCATCTAGCACTTCTCTTCTTTGTAGTATCTAAGTTTAACAATCTTGAATTGAATTGTCTATAACTAGCAGAACTCTGCCATCCTCTATACCTACTTTAAGGTTGAAGTATTCTGAGCATAAAAGTGGAATTTGACATAGCTTTGGAAGATCACATTTATCAGGTTCTCCGTTGAACTTAGTCTTCTAAATACTCTGCACTGGAGTTGATTGTAAGCTATAATCTTGTCTGCTGGCATTCATCATGAGCTCTGCAAGGTGAAACGAGAAAGTGCTTAAAAGAAATGATTCTTTTCCCTCACCCTTGGGTAAGTAATAAAACCAATTCTGCTAGCTTCTTTATTCACCTTTCTGAGGAGAACTTGTGATGTGTCTTTGCACTTAGCTGCAATTTCTTTATGCATTTTCATTTGATTTATAACCAAAATGTTAATAGGACTAGGCTTCAGAGTTCCTCCAGGAATGTGTCAAAGCATTAGTAATGGGATAGAGATTTCCTACTAAGTACCGACATTTAAATTAATGCTTGATGATTGTGTGATTCTTAGCATACTTTGTCTGTTTCTGAAAGGCTGCTACTCTCACTTTGTAAGCAGAAGTCAGTTGCCTGAGACTAAGGATCATTTTAAATATGATATTTTTATTATAAACATAATGGTTCAATAAAAGCAAATAAGAAAAATAGCAAAATAAAGGGTATAATATTAAATAAAATCCTTAGCATTGGAAAGATATCAAAATAAATTTAAAAAAAAGCAAAGAATATGTTTTAATACTATGTTCCCTTAACTTTATGCTTCTTCTAGCTTTCCTTCCTTCCTTCCTTTTTTTACTTCCCCTTTTCTGTTTCTGTTACCTTGCATAACATGCCTCTCTTAACGTAGCTAAAGATTACATTAGCCTTTTTGACTGTTGTATTGTTCTGATTATTCATGCAGTCCAACATATTCTTTGCTTTTTCCACTGTCTTTTCCAGATCTCCATCATATCTAGTGCATTTAGTTCTATAGTTTTTTATCTTTTGTTGTTTCAATCAGATATTAAAAATGGAGTATTAAAGTCTCCCACTATCTTTAATTCTTTTTTTTTTTGTTAAAAGTCTAAAACTTTTCTTCTATAAATTACTGCAAAATCACTAAGTTCTTGTAAGAGTGTACATGTGCATGTGTGTGTATGTACATGTGTGGATATATATGTATATAACTGATACACTTTAATTTTGTATAAATGCTTTTAGTATAATATTATGCCTTGTTTGTTTGAAATTCAGTTTTACTTGGTATCAAAACTGTGCCTCCTGCTTTTGTGTTTAGTCAGTAGCATGGCAAATTGTAGATTACTCTTTCATTTTGAATTAAGTTTTTGTGGTTTAAATGTGTTTTCTGTAAGTAGAAATTGTTAGATTGGGCTTTTTAATCCATTATATGAACATTTTTATTTTATTGAGGAGTTTACTTCACTTTCATTTAGTGTCATATTTGTTATTTTGGTCTTTTCTTCAATCATTCTATAGGAAAGGTGCACACGGATTCTTATTCTTATTTCTATAATTAATAAGAACAAATTTCCTCTGCCATATTAATAACCAATAGATTACTTTTATTCAGATTGCATTTTGGGATAACTCTGATTTCTATCCCCCCCCCAACATCTCTCCTATTATTTTACTTTTCTTTTTATTCCCTTCTGTTTCTTTGGAAAAAGCTTTTGAAACCATTAGATATTTAGATACTATAACACCCTGAAAATTCTCACTTTTTGTTTGAAAATGTTTTAATTTGTTTTAAATACTTAACTTTGTTTTTCTAGGAAACATTTGGTAAAATACTTTTTTTTTTGAAGTGGATAGGTCTTTATGCAAACTTTTCATACTCTTTTTGCTTTTCAAAGTTTTTTTTTTCTTTCCCCATCCCCATGCTGGGTTTTGCTGGTAGATTCTGAGTTTGTAGACCATCTCTCTGAGTTATATAAACGCTGTATTTCCATTTATGCGATTCTCTCTTGTCCTTGAAAATTCAATTATGCTATTAATTAGTAATTATTGTTCATTCATAGATGATTTTTGTATTACTTGTACTAATACTTAACAGAGTATTATTGCAGTTTATTATTGCCTAGGTATATTAAATCTGGGGTTTTTCTTCAGTAGTGTAATGTGCATTCTTTCTATTTGTATTTTTTGGTTGTTTCCAACAATTCTTGAAAATTTTATTTCCATGAAACATTGTGTCCAGATTCTTTAGCTTTTTCTAAATTATCTGAAATATTAGTAATCCTGACTACTATATCATAAGTCTTTTCAGCCTATCATCTGCATCTGAGTGATTTGTAATAGTTTAGATGATTCAAAGATTTTTTTTTGAGTCAATATTTTTAGACACAAATCCATTTTACATTGTAGTTTGCCTGTTTTGGGCTGCTTTTTTTTTTTTTTAAGTTTTTCTATTGTTTTCCCAGTATTAGTCCTTTTGATTTATGTTTGCTTAGTTTTTTAAAAAAGCATTTTAAAATTCTCATTTGTTTGACTTCTAAGATTAAAAAATCAAGTTCTTATTTTGATATTTTGATTATTTTTAGCAATGTCATTCTTTGCTTAATTTTATTAATCTATTTTTGTTTATTTGAGAATACCTTGTATGGTTTCTTTCACTATTTCCTTTACCTATGATACTGTAGCTTCCATTTATCAATTTACTCTCTTTAATCTAAGGTATCAGTCGTGGATCAGGCTCCAAAGATCACTTTTATGTGTTTCTTGGATTTCCACAGTCTCTCTCCCCTTCCTTCCAAAAGTATTAACATGGGATAGACATTTTTAATGAGTTCTGTGCACTTAGCTAGAGTGGATCTTGATGGCAGATACATCATCTACTCAAAGCCTTTATGGCTTTGTGGCACTTGCAAGAGTTTGTGCCTTTACAAATAATGCTTGCTGATGGTTTTATGTAAATGCTTTTTATCACTTTAAAGGAAAAATCTATTTATACCTATACTTCCAAGTTTAATAGAAATGAGGGTTCTACTTTATCAAAAAGTTTTTATGCATCTGTTGATGTAATCATGTGATTTTTGTCACTTTTATTATTGATATAATCAATTATGTTAATAATTTTCCTTATGTTAAACCAGTCTCCCTAACATAGTCTTACATAGCATCGCCTTCACACCAAAATGAGATATCACAGTCATATTTTACTGGAGCGCTATAAAACTAAGTTGGGTAAAATACCATTCTAGTATTTGTTGTAAGCTCTAACTGTTGGAACAAAGAAAAAAAGCAAAACAAAAAGAACTAAAAAGAGTAAAAACAGCAATATTGAACCACAAAACTTATTGGCATATACACATAACAAATGTTTTAATTTTTTCCCTTAGGAGTAATTCGTGTTTGTATTGTCAAAATTCCATTTTTAAATAACCATCATTTCTTGAATTATCTTTGCTTTTACCTGCTTTTGTTAGCCACAGGATCATACCTATTATTTCTTTGAGCTTTTTGAAATCAGTTCCTCTAAATTCTAGCATACACATCTGACCATTATCAGCATCTCTATCTTTGGCTAATATATATTTTCAGATGTTGTGATCTTTTCCTCCCAAGTTTTCTATTGCTTTCACTTCACCAATCAATTACCATTGTTGGTACTCTAGAGCTGAGTTGAGTATCAGCTTCCCTTATTGAATTCACAAATTTATGAGAAATAAGTTATTGATATTTCTTTTTCTAGGATGATTAACTTAGTGTGTTTTTTCAATACAGTGCCTTTTATATAGTAGCTGCTCAGTAAATATTTGTTGAATCTGAATTAGTACAATTAGTAATCGGACTAACAAATATTGCTGCTTCATTATATAAAATTAGTCTTTTTTAACAGTATTTTATTTTTTCCCCAATTACATGTCAAGGCAATTTTTAGCATTCATTTTTACAAGATTTTGAGTCCTAAATTTTTTCCCTCCCTTCTTCCTAAAATGGTAGACAATTTTATATGGGTTATACATGTGCTATCATGGATAACATATTTCCATAGTAGTCACAGTTGTGTAAGAAGAAACACATCTAAAGGGAAAAAATGCAAAAAAGAATTAAGTGAAAAAAATACATTTTGATCTGCATTCAGAGCCTGTCAATTTTTTATTCGAATGTGGATGCATTTTCCTTTGTGAGTCCTCTGGTATTTGTCTTGGATCAATGTGTTGCTGAGAAAAGCTGAGTCATTCATAGTTGATTATCACATAATGTTGCTGATATTGTGTACAGTGTTTTCCTGGTTATGCTCATTTCATTTTGCATCAGTTCATACAAGTCTTTCAATAATTTTCTAAAAACTGTGTTCCCCTCAGTTTCCAATATTTTGCCACCATGAAAAGGGCTGCTATAAATATTTTTTGTACATGTAGGTCCTTTTCCATTTTTTATGATCTCTTTGGGATATAGACCTAGTAGTGCGATTACTGGGTCAAAGGGTATTCACAGTTTTAGAGCCCTTTGGGCATAGTTCCAAATTACTCTGTAGAATGATTGAATCAGTTCACAACTCCACCAACAATGTATTAGTGTTCCAATTTTCCCACATCTTCTCCAACATTTATCATTTTCCTTTTTTGTTATATTAGCCAATCAGATAGGTGTGATGTGGTACCTCAGAGTTGTGTTAATTTGCACTTCTCAATTAAAAATGATTTAGAACACTTCTTCATATGCCTATACATAGCTTTGATTCTCTCATCTTAAAACTGCCTATTCATATCCTTTGGCCATTTATCAATTGGGGAATGGCTTGTACTCTTATAAATTCAATTCCATATATATGTGAGAAATGAGGACTTTATCAGAGACGTTTGCTGTATAGATTGTTTCCCACCTTTCTGCATTCCTTCTAATCTTGGTTATATTGGTTTTGTTTGTGTAAAAGCTTTTTAATTTAATATGCTAAAATATCTATTTTACATTTCAAAATGCTCTCTATCTCTTGTTTGGTCATAAACTTGCAAATCACTTGACTTCTCCTTTAAGAATTTGGATACTATAACACTTGATGCATATGTGTTTAGTATTGATATTACTTCATTACCTATGGTACCTTTTAGCAAAATGTATTTTCCTTCGTTATCTCTTTTAATTAAGTCTATTTTTGCTTTTGATTTGTCTAAGATCAGGATTTCTGTCCCTGTGCTTTTTTTTTTCTTCAAGTGAAGCATGATAGTTTTTCTCTAGCTCATTACCTTTACTCTGGGTGTGTCTCTCTGTTCAAGTGTGTTTCTTGTAAAGGACATATTGCAGGATTCTGAGTTTTGATCTACTCTG